ACTTGAAGTCTGCATGCAGGAAGGCCTCTGGCGGTGGCTCCTGGAGCTGCTATGCGTGAGAAGAGGCCATCACATGGAATGAGGGTTGCAATCCTTATATTCCTATACAGGAAATCTGTAGTATATATAGATATATATGCTTATGTTTATGGTATAGACTGCAGGCCCCAGAATAATATAGTTACACCCAATTCATGAGATCTAAATTTATTGAAAATTTAAAAATAACATTCCATTTAAACAGGGTCATCCCATGTCATCCCTATGACTGGGGTTTCTTTTCAAATACACAGATTCGGTCAACATACAGGGGACCCATTAAACACTTAGGGAGATTAGCCTTTATTTTAGCATGATCCTGCTAGTAACTATGCCCCCTATCTAAGTGGCAAGGTTTCTCAAACACCATGTGATGGAAAGAACTTTCACAATGAGGGCTTACACAGGATAATCATCAGCGGTGAGATACCACACACCCCATCTAATTTGCAGGATTAAAATCCACTTGCAGACAACCCTCCAAGTCTCACAGGGTTATGGGTGGCAGCCAGCCACTAAAGCCAGGGACCCATAGCCCATGTCCTGCCACCCGTGATCCAATAACTTCGAAGCATCAAGCCAGTGTTCTGGCTGACCATGAAGTCCAGAATTGAATGCGGTGGCCTAGAAACAATTTGTTTTCAGAAAGGAGGGCAGTTGATTTTTAGATTTGTTGCGTTTTGGGCAACATATACTCGGCTTACAGCAAAGCAGGGAATACTATTTTATGAGACCCCCACTACCCATTGACGATGTAGGTGTGCCACTCGCCGTCCAAAACCCGCAGGGTAGCTGGCAGAAGATGATAAATGCTTCCCGCCTGACCTGGGAACAAAGCAACATCGATAATGTAATTCTAGTTCTCCTGTTTTTTGAAGTTTGGAAGCTTCCAGGTCCCCAGAAACAATTCAGAAGGAAATTGCCTCTACATGGTCTAGTTTCAATGGCTTTGTTGGGGGTGTATCCCAAAAGTTTTTTGGGTGATGAATCAGAATCCATGGCCCAAAAAAGGGGATCCCGAAACTTTATTTCTTACTTGAAACATAAAAAGCTTTTGGATCCCCTATTTGGAGACATTCCTAATCAGTAGTTGTAAAGATTCAATCTTTATGATCAATAATAGGTTTCTTTTGGACTCGGATTTGGAGAAACTTCTGAACTGGGATGCATCTCCAGTTAAAGGAACCCTGGAAACAGTAAGGTCCCCACACTGAGTTTTTGAGACATTTTTTTTTGACCTTGACAATCTCAATGTCATTCTCCTGCTGCTCCCGCTTGATTTGCTCCCGTCGAGGCTTGCTCAAGCTGTTGGCAAGAAGCATCATCCACGGCCTGGGCACTGGTCTTGGGGCATGGGTGCCAGGTTTGGTTCGTAGACATTTTAGGTTTCTGGTTAATTCGTTCAACAGGGCGCACCATCTTTAAATGGAACCTGCTTCATCTTTAAACATAATGTTTGGACAGGCATGTCTGGATGCTATGCATGCAAGTAGCTACAAACTAATCTACCAACCCCTTTCCACCCCAGAAGCTTTGGTTTAGCCAGAGATCAATGTGGTGTCCCAGAAAAAGTGCATTTCTTTACAGGGGTAAAAGCCTAGAAGGACACTTTCCTCACACAGTTGAAACTGATAGGTAAGAATCTCATTTGCTAAAAATACCTACTCAGCAGGTTCCTTTGTAGAAATATTTGTTGGGGTTCGCGCACGATTCTTGTGTATAGAATGCAACCAAAAACATGTTAAGACAATTTGGTGAGTTAGGATAGATATGTGTATAATTCATAACATATCTTTTACATCAGCCATTGGACACATTTATCTGCAGAAAGGCCCCATGTGCTCTAATCTTTCCCCAAGCCCCATGGTCATTTAGGGACCCATATTTTATAGACAAAAATTGATATTATGAGCACCCAAATGATTTTAGCAATTTCCAGACATAGGTTGGGGTCCAAGAGCTTTTAGCCCCATGCAGATAACACACCGCAAGTCACCACAATCAGCCAATGCACGCGTTGCCTATGCCCACTTGTGGCTTTTCCGATATCCCCCCATACTCCCCCATTGACCTGGGCCAGGGGGTGTTGAGGATGCAGTTAAACTATTTGATTGGTCCTGGACACTTTCACACACAACAACTAGCAATCTAACTAAGGATATGGCCATTTGACAATCAAAGGCTTAAGGAGGGGGTTGATCAGCAGCTGTATTGGCGGCATATGGGTTAAAGCAGTCCGGGCAGGGTTTTCTGCAAACCACACTGCCCCACGGATCACGCTGACCAGGGCAAAGATCATGAAGCGGGTGCAAAAGGTGGACCCTTCCATCACGAAGGCACACGTCTGGTTGCCATAAGGACATACGGAAGACCTTTGGTGGGTTCCCGACGACATCCACCCAAAAGATTCACAGGGGACCGCCCCATAGCACAGCCCAAAGGCCAGGAGTCTAAGACTGAGCAACAGCCCTTTGCAGAAACCTGTGTCACTTCTAAGATCAAAGGTCACATCCTCCTTGAAGTCATAGCCTTGCCTTAGATTCACAAACATCTTTGCAGGGAAATGGGCAACGTCCAAAACCATCAGTGTAAGTTTCGACATTGGATGGTGATGATGATAATTTATCATTTTCCGGTTGGATTGTCATTTCCCCCATTTCCCAAAAAGCACCAAAAATACCCAAAAAAGAACCCTCCCGCGGGGGTCCTTTTTGCAACTTTTCCTTTGCTGGGGCCCTCTTTGGGGGGTTTGAAACCAACAGGAAAATTGCTCATGATGATGCTAATGATGATGATGGTGATGATGATGATGATGATGATGATAGCGATGATGGTGATGATGATGTCCAGACAGGTAACACTCCATTGCCGATATCAGCCCACAGGTGTCTTGATTCATTTTTTCTGAGCACCAATTTTACGCCAGGGCACGCCTGCAACTTCAGTTCACCTGATATTCCAAGATCATTGGAACAAATTGCAGGTGGGGATGGGTGAGCCAACAAGACTTTCATATCAGCGGAAGGCAATTCAAGCATTCCTGGGTAACATACCCCCAAGTCCCCCCAATACTTGAAAACAGGAATCTCCAAATTGGAATGATGGGGTATTCTCCAAAAGGTCTACTTGGACTTGCTTTGGAATAAGCCGAGAGACGAAAGCCATTCACCACACTCTGCACCCCAGAAAAATATTCGCAGCAGTGTACATCCTGCACAATGCATTTGGGTGACAAGTACCAGGGCCCACGATTTTTTCTATCCACCCTATATAGATGCATGTATGCATGCTTACTTTTGGATATTGTCCCAATGACCATGTAAATACTTCCATATAAATGAGGCAACATTTTTCCTATGTGGGTTTTAGGAATCTTTTCATCATCTTATAATTTCAAAATCAGGTTGCCAGCCAAAATGCCACCAAATACGATGAAAAAACAGCAAGATGAATAGCACCCAGTCCCGGGAGGTCTCACTGGTCGCCACTGCTGCCACAAAATCCAGCGCATGGATCCTCAGAACACCCCTGTCTCTGAGGCAGCTGGGAGCTGCAGTTTTGGTGAAGAAAGGGTTTCTTTTATCATGAGGTAAAGGGGGGTAGGGATCATAAAAACCCTTTGAGATTGAATAGCCTCAAACCTATTGTTTGTAAACAATCATTTATGATCATAGAAAAGCACTGCAGTGTAAATTGGTGCCAGGGAACACTATGGGCGGCAGGCCAAACATGAGTAGCAAAGCCACTTGCATGCGGCTCAACCGGATACTAAGTTGCGGTGAACGGACATTGCGAGCTGCTGGCATGGCTCCAATATGTAGCACAATCAGATCCGAGATGGGGAAATTGAATGCTGGCTGCTGGACATACAGCAAGGGCAAGCAGAAATGAAATCCTGTAAATGGGAATGGTCCAAGAATAAATGATTTTTCCAAAACCTGGGTTTTGTTTGTTGGGTCTTGCTTGACAACATCCCTACCAAAAAGCCTTGAACTTGTTGCAGCACAAGGGTTACAACGGGGGTTGGCGCACCTCTGCGGAATGCAGGGGCCACAGCATGACCACCATCTTGTTGTTGACGCCGGTGCCGCAATTGACCTGCCCACAAATTTTGTCAAGTGTAGTGATATAAAATATATATGTGTGTTTTTTGGAGGCATATGCATTCATCATTCAAAGGTTCAACATAATTGCCCCCAGAGTTTTGAAGCAAGTGCGACTTTGTTCTCAACTCCCCAGGCGGTCGCTCATCACATCGCATCCGTTCCCACAGAACAGGTGGCAAAGGCAGCAACACAAACAATTTGGTAGTATCCCCAAGGTCTTGGGATGTCTCCAGGCTTTTGTAGCCAAATCCCAAACTACCATGTGCGGAGGCCACCCCTTGTCACACATAAACAGTTTCACAGCGATCCAAAAGCATACACACTTGAACTTGTAGGCCAAAATGATCATATGATCATAGCTCATGTCCACGCGCGATCTTCACATATCACGCATGGTGCGATTCCGAAGGAACCCACCCAGCCAACACTTTGGCATGCTTCCACCTCAGATACTTGAAACCAATAATTCACATCAAACACTGAACAAAGGGTTTGCAAAGCTGTAGTGAATGCACCCATGGTACTGCATGGTCATACATACAAATAAATCTTTTTGTAACCAGATCCACCAAGCCACGCCTTTCCCATGTCCTCGTATTTATTCCATGACACAGTGCAGCGTCCAGAAGCGTCAGCTCGAATGCGATCATCACCTGTCGCGTGGCTGATGCAAAATTGCTCAGCAGACAAGACCACTAGGATCGGTCGAACATCATCGCGGGGAGGGCCAACCATGTAGCTCCTTAGCAATCTAGCACTCAAACAAAAATGTGCTGCAAGGCCAAACCAAGCGCAATTGACATGCACACTCTAAAGCGTAGCACATCTCAAACCAGGCTTTGGAGTAGTTACACTTCACTTTTTGTTTTTGGCACATGTTTGCACACACTTGTTAATTAATGTTAAAATGAGATTCATTTTGCTTTCATCCTTTGGTTCTTCCAAATCTGCAAGCATGTCAGGCAAGAGCTCCCTGCTGCGACGAAGCTTTGCCAAACCATTCTTCGCCTTCATCTCCCTCTTTCGTCTTTCCAGAACCTTTTTCGGGGTCTGATTGCCATGGGGGTTCCAAACCTTGCACGGTGTTTCCATGATTCCAGTCTTTCGGGCCTTGCGAGTCTTTGCAGGTGCTTTCTCAGTATCAGTCCCTTTCCTAGAGGGTTTTTTCATTTCCACAGCTTCCTCGGTTGCACTTGCCCCAGCTGCAGCACTTGGCTTCAGCACTGATTCCTTTTTGCTTTTTTTAGCCTCCTCCTTCTCCTGGCGCTTTGCCTCCTTTTCAGCTTTCTTCCTTTCTCGTTCTGCGCGTTTGGCTTGCATCTGTTCTTTTTCTGCTTTTGCCTTCTGTTTTTCATTTTTCTCAGCTTCCTTTGCTGCAACTGCTGCTTTCTGCTCTTCCTTCTTTCTCTTCCGCATTGCTGCCTGTTCAGCAGCAATGTTCATTTCCTGTGCTTCGACTGGTTTTGCAAATTTCGCCAGAGCTGGGGGGAGAGGTACTGGGCGAGAAATCAAAGGACCCTTGCTCGAGTCAGGCCGAGAAGGTATCTTCAAGGTCTCCTGGAAAGAGCACAAACCGTTTAACCTAGCACCATGCCAACCTCTTTCTTGACATGACTTTTGCTCAACTATAGCATATAGTGCATTATAGGTCAATTCGGTTGCAGTCTATGATCTACACAAAAATATGGGTTGTCATGTCATGAGCATGTAGCTCACGGGTTGTTGTAACTTTCACACGCATGAGGAACATTGACAAGGCAACCGCACAAATCTCCTTGTCAGGCTGTTGAGTCACAGGTGTTGGTGCTGATGGTTGGGAAGGTTCCCTTGAGGTCTGAGCCTTGACGACAGCAACTTCCTGCCAAGATGAAACACACCCCAGCCAAATTCCAAGTGAAACAAATCAAACATTTAAGTATATGTCAAATTTCTTGGAAGGTACTAGCAACAGGAAGTCCTTCATGCGAGGTGGCATCCAAGGATTGGGAAGCTGTGGACGGTAGGTTTCATAGTAGGCCACAAAGTCCAAAAAGTGTTTTGGCCCAAGAGACTTGACGACATCATCGTGCTCGGCCCAGTCATGGAACATTTTCTCAACCTCCATCGTCCAATCGACCTGGAGTCACAACTGGAAATTTTGAAACCTTCAGATAAATTGTAGGCAAAAACACACCTTTGGCCCTTGCAGTCCCGACCAACCACTTGCCTTCTGCCTTTTGGTTGCTTTGGGTTCTGTGTCTGCCACCTGCTGCCATGTAAAACTCAACAAGGAGAAGCTGAGCTCTTAGATTTCATTTTTTTTTCATTCAGCGCTCTTAAGGAATCTGGTCCTTGCCGCGACATGCAGCTAATTTACAAAAACCTGCATTTAATTGACCTGCCTGATCATTGACCTTGGTAATCCGGCATCCATGTGGCTGCAGCTCGGATACGGCCACAAAGCACTTCGGCTTCGCTGACCCACTGTACAAGGTCTGACTCAGGCGGTTCAAAAGAAGTACACATGCCCCTACGACTACGGCTACGCAGTTCGTCAATCACAGCACCTGCAAGAGCTGCGCAAAACTGCTCTGGGTATTCTTTAAGAGCACTGGTGCGGAATTTCCCATCAGGCCCCTTTCCAATCGCCGTCTGAGTAGGCAACTTCGCATCTTGGCATTGCCGGCCATACATGGACTGTGCAAATCGCGGCATCCGAAGTGCAAGTAACCCGGTGGGCTTAGTCATCTCGCAACCCCAGCGCCATTGGGACATGATATGGAGAGCAACTTCTGGGTGTTGCCTCAACAGTTCTGTCCACGGCGCCTTCCACACACTCGCAATGTGTGGGTCTGCAGGGGGAGCTGGGTGCTCGCTGATGTACAATCCACCAGTGCAGATTGCCCATGCGATTGTAATCGTAGTTTGTAGGTAAAATTGTGTACCCTGACTGAGTTGGCGCAATTCGCGCATTGTAAGTCCTTGTAAACAAAATATCCTTTCAGCGCTTCTGAGAGGTCGTGGGCCCGATGATTTGCAAGGCTCAGGATCATCACTTGTCACCAGTGAATGGTGCCTGGCTGCAGACCACGTCTCACAAGGCGCGCCGGCAATTGTGGCTGCTGTCCGGCCGTCGCGGTAAAGACGTGTCAATTGACTCCACGTAGCCGATGCGACGTGGAGATTGCCCATTACTTCAGAATTGGCCGTGTCCAGGGAGAGGACCAGGACCTGCAAATTAACTTCAGCTGCCCAACGGGCAAGATAATCGTGCACGTCTCCTTGGCGTCTTCTACCACTGAATAGGTGCGCAATCAGGAAAATCGGCTTGTCCTTCGGCTGCCTCCAAATCGGCACTTTGCGCTCCGTAGGGAGGTCAAGCCATTTGATGGTGCAGACAAAATCAAAGAGAAAATGCTGCTCCTCAAAGGACATGGGTATAGCGGCAGCCGTCACTGCCCTCTCTTGTGCATTTGCCGTGCCCTTAGGGACCTCACGGTGCGGGAAGACCTCCTCAATTTCCTCTCTAAGGCGGCCAAGCTTCGCACGCAGGAAGGTCTGTCGTTGAAGGTGCTCAAACCTAGGGAAAACAGCAATAAGCTCACTGAATGCTTCTTCCACCAGGGTCTCAGCTCGCCCATCCAAAAAGGTGGCAATGACATCTGGCAAATTATCTTGTCCCCAGCGCATGAACTCAGCCTCAAACCATGTGCCATGCATCCCTTCCTCATCGCCTAAGAGAATGATCCATCTGTCAGGAAGATCGTCCACAAGGCGCTCATCGTAGCCTTCCTCCTGAAATTGCATGAACCACTCTTCAGTAGTCTGCGAGAGGGCCTGGCGAAGATGGCTGGAGGTTCTCTCAGCATCATGAGGGGCATCTTCGGTCAGTTCAGCATTGATTCTTTCCAATTCAGAAAGAGTCTCCTCAATATGTTGTAAGCGAAAATCAACCTGCATGGGGAGTGGCCCCAAGGTTTGCACTGCTTCAACCCTAGCAAGACCTCGCACCTCAAGCGGTTTTTCCTGAAATGGCTGTTCACTAGGTAACCCGCAGAAATTCATCTTTTTGAGCTGCTGAAAACACTTATTAACACCCGTTCGCCTAGACACATAGGCGAGGTGCAAATAGAGCCTTTGTTTGGTCCAAAAGTATTTTAAGCAGGCCGGACAAGTTTCACCTACCAGCATGGAATGTTCAGGAGCAAACTCATGGTGCATCTGGCGTCGGTGACATGCTAGTCCTTGCTGGGTTGAAAATGTCCTTCCGCACTGACAATGGAATTCTTTTCTGGTTTCGGCCTGGCCCTGAAACGGTTCCGGCTGGAACGAGCCACCATGTTGGAGGAGGATTTTGAAGAAACTTTTATGCATGCCAAAGAGAGTATTACACATTCCCTCCTGCATTTGATAGCGAGTCCAAGCTCGCTTAACTCTAAGTTTCCACTGCCGTCCTCCAGCTTGCCAAAAATCAAATACATCAGAGAGATCTGCTCTTGATCGCAGGCATGGCGGCGCATCCGGCTCAAGGTCGTGTAGCCAAGCCAAATCATACTTCAGCCCATGCATCCATGAATCTGGCCTCAATGCTTCCTCACGGTGAAGCAAATGCTGCAACATAGGTGGGCCATGTTGCCAGAGTTTTTGCGCATAGAGAAGTCTATCAAGCGCAATCCTGGCACGCGGTGGGCTATGGCCTGCCCGCTGGAAAACATCTGCAACAGTCAGCGAGGTGTGCTCCTCCTTGGACAGCCTGAGAACTCTCTTCAGCATGTTCCACACTGCGGTCTGCAGGCGAGCCGTCTGTCGCATTGTGAGTGGAGCCCACGCACCAAGACCAAAATAAAGGCGTGATTCAACCAATGTGCGATACATCTGCAACCGTGTATGCACAGGGAGATGCCTATTACATAGCACCGGTGCTGCCAGTTGAGCAAAAGCACTCCTCGCTAGGCCCAATCTGGTGGAGATCTCCATATCCAGCGTATGGGAAGCACTAAAAATAGTCCCCAGGTGTTTGTAATGAGCCACAAAATGAATAAAAGCTTCTTGTGTCCCCAACTGCACCCAGAGACCTGGATGGTCATTCAATTGGTATTGTTTCCTCATCTCTGCTGCCCCACTCCCTTTGAACGTGGCAACCACACTGGTCTTACCTTTGTTGAGGTTAAGGAGAAATCCTCTTTTGAGGAAGACCTTGTGCACGTGTTGCAATGAGGTTGCAATCAAATCTGGTAGTGCATGTGCCTGCCGTGTTGCCAATGGCAGTGCCAAATCGTCTGCCCAGACGACACACTCTGCTCCTATGTCAGCGTCCGCGAGAATTCCTTGAAACTCAGCTTGGTCTGCCAACCAGGCGTTGATCTCCTTCGAGACATCAGCCATGAGAATATGAAAAATACAATCGGCTAACGGTGAGCCTGGTCTTGTGCCTCGTCTGGTAATGATAAAACGCTCATCTCCCGGGGCTTTAAGCCATGTGTCGGTATGGAGGTCTTGCAACAATTGGACCAGGAAGGCCGGTGCACCGAGCTGCTGCAAAAGGCAAGGCAATTGCAGCAAATCCATTGCCTCTTGCACAGGTAGGCCCTCCGTGACAAGAGCTTGCAGAACTTCCTCAATAGCCTCAGGTACATGGACTCCAGAGACCAGCTCTCGGATGAGCCGATGGAAAGCATTGGTCAGATCGAAAAACACAATAGCCGAAGAGTGACCTTGCACATCCATGATTCTTCCAAATACCTGCTAAGCACAAAAAGGTCTAGTCTAGCACCTTGCTCACAGGCTTTTCCTTTGCAGCTTCTTTCCCATCCTCCAGCACTGAAGGTTCCCACAAATCAAAAGTGTCACAGATGAAATAAGTTTGGACCCTGCAAGTATCTTACTACACCGGACCATCCTGGAAGTCATCTTTTCGCTTGCTGTCAGAAGTCTTGGGTCGAGTCAGAGCCTGCGGCTTGCTTAGAAAGCATGGGCTAGTTTTACAACAGTATGTTTCTGAATGCAACTTGCTGACTGGCTAGGCATTAAATCTGTTCACACCCCCCGGCTTCAGTAAGACCAATCATGCTTAAAAAATGTCATCACACTTGTAATCAACAATCAAGTGCAAACACCCGCACAGACACAGAGCCAGTGCAAACATACGACACAAATTTGAAGGACACATGTTCGGAGCCTCCCCCTTTGCAGGATCATCACCATGCAACCGGCTTTCCTTCAAAGCCTTGCTGTCAAGCAACTTGCCCACCCCAAACTTTTCACAGACAAGGAGCCAAGCCAGCAGAAACCACCCGGCCCTGCCTCAGCAAGCTCAGCAGAGTTGTCATGACCATCACCGCTGTCGATTTCAAGAGGAAACCCATCCACCTCACAGGTTGCGTGGCAAAACCAAAAAGCCCCATATTGTTAGGACAGCAGCATCCAGAACCCACACACATGATTTCAAAAGAAAACACAGGTCGAATCTTCTATATATATATATTTATTTATCTATATTATATATTGTGTTATATATAGCCTATTTCAGGCCCTGCCATGTTTCCCACCTGATCCATGGACATTGACAACGTGTCACAAACATCCATGTAGCTCTTTTGGTAAATGGAGTCATCAAAATTCGAAGGCCCATACACCTTGGGTACCTCAGAGACCTCCTGGGCATGGTTTGAACAGGGTAGGAGGCATAAGTGGGAACAAAACACACCATTGTCATACCAGTGCTTGCACCTACCACAAATAGCATGCATGCATGTAGGCACTCCTGTTCGTCCATTTCGTCTTGATCAAAAGGATCTTCTCTACGAAACCCAGGTGGGTCCGGTGATTTTTCAAGAGGATCTTCCTGCACAACACACATGTATGGTAAACATCGCACAAAATATTATATACTATCAAATCATATGATCATATCATATCATATCATATCATATCATATCATTCCAACTAGTTTTGGTGGGAGAGGGCGACAGAGGAGAGAAAAGAGAGAGGGAAAAGAAAGGGAGAGAGAGAGAGAGAGCTGTGGCTTTGGCCACAAATCAGAATGGGCTCAAGATGATTCAAGCAGCAACCTTTGTAGCTGTAGCTTTGGCCACGGATGGGCTCAATGATGCAATCATCGTAGCT